ATTATAATATACTTGAGTAAATTAAAAACGAAATAAGAAAGTATTTGAACCACAGTTTGCTACATTAGTTGAAGAGGGCCACAAGGCAAGAACTGACTAACTGGAAAATGATTTGAACAGGCTGTAATTGGTGCTGAGAAATGTGAATTTTCTCTCTTTATGGAGTCCAGGTCGGGTTTACCAAGTTGACTTAATTCTAAAGAGAGGTGTGGAGCACCTCTCCAGAACTCAGGAGACAGAGGCAGGTAGATCTCTGTGAGATCATGGCCAGCCTGATCTAGTCAGTGAATTCCAGGCCAGCTGGGGCTGAGACTCTGTCTCAGAAACACACACACACACACACACACACACACACACACACACACACACACACAAAATAATAATAATAAGATAAAATAATTTTTTTAAGAAAATTATTCAGTACATTTGGGCTAAGGACAGAGGGGGGAAAATCTTTTTAGTTTCATCTTGAAAGGAATCAAGACAATGTTTCTTTTAGCCAGACTGCTGCCCTTACAGGCTTACAAATCTAGCACTTTCTGAGACAATACCAAAGGGAAGATTTTTTCTGGGAATCTGATGAATCCTGGGGAGAAGACCCATTTTCGTGTCCTCACAACCTCCAAAAGAAGGGAGACTCAGCAACATGCTGTATTTTTAAGAAGTGGCATTGGTGGGTTTGGAAAGAGGAAGCAGTTACGTAAGTCTCAAGGCACTTGATGGACAGAGGAATTTGGATAAGTTTGTGGTGATGCTGGGTGACCAGGAGATAATATTAGAGCCTTCCATGACATTTGTGACTGTGTGTAGTGCTGGAGAGTGTTCAAAGGAAGGAAGTTGAACCAAGATACACCTTCGTGCCAGTTTGCGTGCAATACTGATCCACCAACACTGTCATTCGGGGTGAGGAACTTGTTAAGAGATAGAGTTCTTATTCTTTTCCTCTCATAAATATGCATGTTCCCCCAACATACACACACCTGCCTATGAACAAATCTGAGATCTTCAATGAGTCATTTTGTCTGTGAAAAGGAAACTGAGAAAATCTCTGTCCATCAAGGCAAAGAAAATTCAGGGAGGATTTCCATCTGTTTGAAGCTCGAGTGAGAAATTGAAGCCCAGATAAATGTGAGAGTCCAAATGCGCACCAGCTAAATGGTGGCGTAATCACATTAAATTTTTTTTCATACAAAAATGAGTCCATTGGAAACCCATGGAGCTAAGACATAAGCCAAGAGAAACCTCTCTTAGGGACCTTTTTATAACTCAGTATTCTTGGACATATGATGTTTAGAGGGAGAACAACTCTACAGAGGATTAACTCAAGATTAACTCTGGATGGCAATTAATACAGAGATGCACAACTGTCAAAGTGACTGTGGAATGCTCAGTCCTAAGTGAGATATCTGTAACACACCCCATCCCCTCTAAGACTCAAAGCACATCATGGACGATGGGGTAGAAAGGTTTTAATGTTGCTTTAAAATGTTGTCTCCTTGACAACATATCTGTTGCAATCATGAGCTCACAACAGTACCTTTGTAGTCATGAACTCACAATAGTCATGGTTACCGGGACAAGACAGTACAAGATCAAGCCAGCATTGAGAGGGAGAGGGCTCACAAATCCCCACCCGTAGCAGAGGAGCTATTGGCAATTGCTGGTCACTGGGTGGAGAGTCAGGATTTTTTTCAGCATTGTGGCCTGTGATCGGCTGCCCATGCTCCACATCCATGAGCAAATTGACAGCACAAACTGGACTCAGCGGGTTATTAAGAAAAAAAAAGATGTGAAGTTAGGAGATGTAGTGGTGGTCACAGCTGGGTTGGACAGGGAGGGATCCAGTGAGGGTAATATGATCTGAATACATTGTATTCATGTGTGAAATAACAAAGAATAAATAAAAATTTTAAAGTTACAAATGTCACAGGGACGTAAACTACCATGGCAAACAGAATAAGAAGCCCAACCATTAATCTGCATAACTAAAGGTGTGAAATTATTAAATACAGAGAAGTTTTAAAAAACATAAGGAGTAGGACATTATGGGAAAAAAAAAAAGAGGCAGAACTGTAAAAGAACCAAATGAATGTCCTATATAAATAAATTGGTAAAAACAAAACAAAACAAAAAAAAAAAAGCAAAACAATAATAATGAAGCAACAAGTGAACCAGAAAAATAGATCCATGGGATAAAACAGCTGCAGCCCAAAGAGATAAAGGAATGCAAAATAAATATTAAAACAAGGAAAGCACCCAGAATGTTAAAATTTACAGAAAAAAAATGAGTTATGATAGGTCATTAGGGAATTGCTAGTTAAAGCAATCAGATAGTACTATATGCCTTTCATGGCATAAAAATAGCAAGAATCCCAAATGTTGACCTTCATCGGTGCGTGTGAGGATGTGGAATGCTAAGTAGTACGGTCACTTTGGAATAGTTTGACAGTTTTCTACGAAGCTCAACATATACTTCCCGTACAGTCCAGAAAATCCAGCAAAATGCTTCTGGGTATTCTACCCAAATGAGTGAGAACTTAGCAGTTTAGAACACTTGATGCTCCTGCAGAGGACCAGAGTTTAATTCCCAGTACCCACATTGGGCAACTTACAGCCACCTGTAACTCCATCTCCAGGGGGTCTGACCCTTCTTTTGGCCTCCTCAGGTGCTCTCTCTCTCTCTCTCTCTCTCTCTCTCTCTCTCTCTCTCTCTC